AATCAAAATTAGTAGTGCCACATGTACTTCTGAAGTAAAAAAATTTCAACAGAAAAGTGTACACAGGTAAAACATCTCAGAGATTCCATTCCAGCAGTAACCAAGTTCAGTACCTACTTAGTATCCTGACAAGCTAATCAAAATTAGTAGTGCCACATGTACTTCTGAAGTAAAAAAATTCAACAGAAAAGTGTACACAGGTAAAAACATCTCAGAGATTCCATTCCAGGAGTAACCAAGTTCAGTACCTACTTAGTATCCTGACAAGCTAATCAAAAATAGTAGTGTCGCATGTACTTCTGAAGTAAACATTTTCAACAGAAAGGTGTACACAGGTAAAAACATCTCAGATTCCATTCCAGGAGTAACCAAGTTCAGTACCTACTTAGTATCCTGACAAGTTAATCAAAATTAGTAGTGCCACATGTACTTCTGAAGTAAAAAATTTCAACAGAAAAGTGTACACAGGTAAAAACATCTCAGAGATTCCATTCCAGGAGTAACAGATTTTGAATAGAAAGAGGTTGCGAAACAATACCACTGCAAAGTATTCAGTGAAGCAAAGAGCATATGATATAGGAACAATGCAAAGCTAGAATAAGAATTTTCAGAATGAGTGAGCACAAAGTTGGAATAAGGATGTATAACCCAAGCAAGATTCATAAAGAAAAAAGCCACAAAATGAAAATCGGTCAAGAACAGATCATGATAAATAGTCAGAAACTCCAGGATATTGAAAAATAGGATTTGTCAAAAGTTCAAGACAGGACATCCAAAAAGAGGTGAGAAAAGCACTTCATTAATAATGAAACGATGAGGATTCATCTTGTAAGGTAGCAGTGAATTTTCCAAATCAGAAAGAGAAAAAAATAAAAATCCTTGGACGTTACACAGTTTGACTCATGAAATAATGAATAAAATTCCCAAACGGATAATTGTTAAATGAAAAAAAAAATTGTTGCAATTCAATTCAAACTTAAGACTTGTCACTGATAAAGTTTTCAAACAAATCAAGATACATAAAAAAAAAAAAGACTGTGGCAAGAAAAGCTGTACAATTAACTAGATTACTTATGAGCATCAATTACATAGACTAGTGTCAAGTAAAATAATTCATTAAAAAATTAGGATTAAATCCATTAATATCAAGAAAATAACAAACTGATCAAAATTGGTCATCAAAAAGTTGCCATTTTTATTTCTGGTTATTACTACCAATTAATTCAGGGTTATTCAGCTTACTTGATTAGAGCCATGACTCACAAAAATAATCAACTAATGGTGTTTTTCATTATTCCAACTATCCATGTAACTGAAACATTTGCCATTACTATTTCCATCAGCATGACAACATGTGATGGTATGCATGCATTCCACTTGTACATAATTCATGAATGTGTCTGTTGATTACGTAACACAGCGATGCCTGTTCTCTGTGTTTATCTTATATGTATAAATAATAGTGTAGCTTTAACTTAACATATGGCTTACATACTACAATTGAAACCAATGTTACTTAGGTTAAGATTGCTTTAATAGAAAAAAGTTAAAACTCGTTATTCTTTAATTCACTCAATAAATGTTGATTGCTGAATAAATTGCTTATTTAACTGCAATTTCATATATTACTAGATAAGGACTAATAACAGTCTAATAATATGTAATAGATTCTGAATTGAATGTTTGATGAAAATTCATTAAAAAGAAAATATAACTTCATAGTACTAAACATGCCACTGAAGTGTTTTAAGAAAAAATATCATGTTGATACCAACCTGCAGTTGGGTCCTACGTAATCGTTCAATCTCTGCATAAAGGCGTTCAATTTCAACATCTTTGACTTCACAAGCTCTTGTAGCTCTGACCAATGCAGCCTTTAGCTGGCGAATCTGTCTGTTTTTTCTTTGTGTTGGTGTAAGGTATTCTTCAGGAGACTCGTATTTTCTCTGACAATGTAGGACATACTTCTTTTCAGGGTATGTACAGTTGACTCCATATGATGAGGACTTGCTAAATGCTGCTCTTGGAGTGATATCACATGACATGAAGGTGGCACAGCTCCCAAAACTTTTTACTGAACTATTTTCTTCATCTGGAGTTAACGGTGTAGAATATTCTTGACCATTCCTTGGATCTCCAATGCTCGAGCTGCGACTTCTTACTTGTAGCTCCATAGAACCATATTGCTTCTGACCAACTTTAGGTACAGGAACTCTTGATGTAATGGAATGTCGCCTAGAAGGTATAGTTAATTTAAAATCTTTTATCTCTTCATTAAAAGGGGCCAAAATAGGATGTTCTCCATTTTCCCGAAGAGACTGAGATCGTCGTAGACGAGGAATAAAGCTTGTTTGTGTGGTGGATGAGGACCTTGATGGTTGCTGATCCTTCATGCTGTTCATTTTACTTCATTTTCTTCCTAAGTTCATGAAACATCACAGAACTTACATCAAGAATTTGTATGAACACAAGGGAATCTTATATATACATGTACTTAAATTTGAGGTGGGGAGGAATAGATTTCAAACCATTTCTACAACTTAAGTCAATTTCACAAAAATGTTCTTGGTTTATACATAAAGTATTGTAAGTGTCCTAATTCAATAGCACTTTGTGATTTACATTAGAAATCCCCCAACCCATTTTTTATATATACGAGGTTTGAAGTTTAGCTTTAAAAAAAATGTATTTGTGATATAAATTTACAGATGTACCATTAAAATTTTCAGGTAACTAAGTTGTTAAAAATTTATCAGAATAAATGTAAAATGTCTGAAATTTTCAACACAAAATTCAAATGCAATAATAAAAAACTAGTGTTTAAGAATAATAATAACAATGTAACACATATAGAAAAGTACCATTTCTGTTAATATGTTGCATTGTAAATTCGCACTCACTAGATCAAGAAAAATATTTAAATAGTGTAGTAGCCCTCCTGTGGACATTTTCAACAGATCAATAATTTTCATTAGATAAGTAGACTAAAACTGCAAACAAAATTTTAAGTGAAGCCTGACTATTGATTTGTATAGAGATAATTACCACTTTTGACTTGTAATCAATATGTCTATAAATATTCTATAAAATTCTATTAGCTTTACTATTAGCCACATATGGCTTGCTTGATTTATCTAACACTTTGCCAAGACCCCTTTTCTCCAACTGTGCTATTCAGTAGGCTCCCATTTATGTCAAGCATGTAATTTAAATTATGACAACCCAAATGCATTACCTTTCACTTAATATAAATATATTTGCTGCTATTTCTCCAACTTACCAATTGATCCAAGTCATTCTGTAGTACTTCAACCTCAGTACAATTAGAAATACCCAAAAGTTTAATGTTAACATCAAAATTAATTAATTTACTAATCATACCCTTATCAATATCATTAATGTATAGAAGAAAAAAGCTAAAGCACTTATCTCTGAGACATACTATTAATAACAAGGGTTAACATTTTCCTAAATGTATTTCCAATAATACTTACCTCCTCTCACACTTATAGCTATTACTCAACTTCCATAGTTTCTTCCTTTGCCCATCTAAGTAATGGTCTGATTTTTTCTCGCTTGCTCCAGTCTTTTATACCACACTCAATTACCTTTGGCGACACTTATCTCATGACACTCTCCACCTGTGATAATGCACCCTCTATCCTGGTACTGTATATAAGCACCTTACTCAGACAATGTTATCACTTTTTCGAGACTGACTCAATACCAGTTTCTACCACTGGCTCTTAGCGGGGAGGAAGAGTGGAAGAAGTGGTGAGTATTATTGGAAATACATTTTCAATTTAGGAAAATATTAACTTCAAAAACATACTCACCTCTTCTCCCACTTATAGCTAGAACCCCACATTGATAAGGTGGAGAGGCTGGTGAGGACAGTATCCATACAAAAAGCATCTGCATAGATCCTGGGTGTGTCAATAGAAGATTAGCACCTTATTGGGAGAACTGCACTACATACAGAAGAGGTATGTTCTTCACCCAGAACTTAATTCCTGTATTATGGGTAGAATTTTACATGAGTTGTCATCACTATAGGCCAGGCCCCAACAAGGTAGACGATGTTCTACTACTCAGAGCTGTAATTAAATCATGGTCCCTATATCCCATGTTGATGGCTAGGGCAATTGAACCACAAACGTTATATATATATAAATTTATGAGTGGATCCCAACTTGTAGCCATAGATGAAGTGGACAAACCTTCTCCTCAACCTGAAGAGGTCTGAAAGGCAACATCCCAGGCTCAGAATGAAAGGATCATGTATGCCTTACTCAACCAAAGGAAACAGAACTCATCTGGTCTGGAATTTTGAACACTCATCCTCACTCCCTAACCGTGTGAGCAAGGTACATCCCACTTGCCCCTCGAATTATGGGGAGGACATGGGATCCAACTGCTCTGTGTTCAGAATTATGAGAATACAGTGGACCCTCTTTCATGAACAATGTACTGAATCAGCATTGATCAAAAAGAAGGGCCATGCATACCCCAACCAGATAGCTGGTATTATAAGTAGGCTCCCGCATAGGCTGGTGCCACTCCTACCAACATCTGGGAAAAATATCCAAGGACCCGGGTAGGAGGGCCCCAACTTTGCCCTCTTTCTAAGAGTGGAGGAATTTACTTGAACACTCGGGAGAAAAAGTCTCTGTCCATCACCCCAGTGATTTGAAACTGTTTGTGGTAATGACTCCCTAGTACCATTAGTAGAATCTGGGGGGGGGGGGTAATGCGTGTTGTGGAGACCCTGAGGAACAGTGCTCTGGAAACAGTGCAATCAGTGAACCAAGTTCCCTAAATTTTTAAAAATAAACCGACCCTGATTTATTCAATCCAATGATTGGCAGGGACAAGCAGGATACCCTTATGATTTACTCATGACAGGCCATGAATGGTGGTCCAGCATAATGCAGTAATCCCACCCGGGCAGCCTCTAGGTGGTCTTATGGAACACCTTAATTCTACAGAGCCTGCTGCAACCTAGATAGAGCATACTGAATTAGTGGTTGCTAGTGAGGAATTGGTTTGATAAAAAGACACCTTCCTGAGCAATGCTCACCACAGAGAGGGATCTTGTGAAAATGAGGTAAGGGACTCTGAAAGGTCAAGAAGAGACAAGAGTAGCAATGAAAATACTCACCCCTCTGTATAATCTAAGGGATGTGGTTAAGTTAGCTACAGGAGTTGGTCGAAAACCCTTAGATGAAGATACTGCCAGATCATGCCAAAAATGTGAGATAAAAGTATCAGGGAAGGTTCACATATCAGCCAGCACAATGTCCTCCAGAGGGCAATTCAACCAGGTTACTAAGGGCATAGAAATGTGACGAATCTGATGAGATGTGACTCACAGAATTCTCCTTGCTTTTAAAGAGAGCCCAGAATAAGTGATATAGATCAATTTCCTACCCACCTCATCAATGTAACCGTGGATAACTACTGGAAAACTGAATGATCCTAATGAATAAAGTTGTTGTCTAACATCTCTAAAGGCATTAGCATAGGCAAAAAAACCTTCAAGACCCTCACTGGACAGAACAAATGATCGAGATCTGAGCAGTCATAGAAGTAAGAAATAGTGATTAGATAAATTGGGAAAAAGGATTTATCCCATTCTCTTGCTGCCAGTGTCTCAGATAAGAAGAATGGTCTGAGGATGTAGGTAGAATGATAAAGCGTCCTATGCACAATCAGGGTAAACCACTCTGAGCAGCAACATCCATAGGTCAGCAGCAACAAAAAATAAACCTCCAGGGAAAGGTGATACATGGCACAGGAGGCTAAGTCTCAAATGGGTGTTGAGAAAGGGCATGTAATTCCACCTTAATATACCAGTTAGGTAACTGAAATGGTCATTTGGAATGAAAACCCAAAACGATGTGAGGAAGCCGCAGAGTACTGGGGACTCAAAGAAATTTTGTCTCAAGTATTGAAAAGTAGTCAATAAGACCACCTTATACAGGGTGATTGTGGAAGATGCAAAAACCTTGTCAAAGAGCCAGGTCAAAAAACGAGTTATGGTTGGCACTTCTGATCTTTGTGGGTTCAACCTCCACGCAATACATCATTGCTGATACGTGTGCAATTTCCTTTAATAAATGTCTATTATGAGACTAAGCAAAAACTGAGACAGATACATGGCAACCTCAGAAATTAAACATGTATGCCATTCATAACTTCCATGCCTGAAATTTGAGCTTCTGGATAGCTGGGTGTACAATGTCAGATCATGGCTGCCTCCACATAGATGGATAAAGAGGAATTGGAAGAGGTGGGCACTACTGAAGGTACTGCAGAAGCAGAAAACAGGGTTTAGCTGCCAATCCAGTGCTATCAAAGGGATCCAACAATGGGTTGGAATAAATCACAGCTAGTACCTTGGATAACATACAAATCAATGGAAAGGCCTAGAGTTGTAATCCCATCCTGTCCTGATGGAATGCATCTATTGTCAAAGCCCGAAGGTGAGGTATCTGAGACCAAAGTGCCAGTAGTTGGGTGTCCCAATAAGTGGCCTACCCACCAATCATCAGCATTTCAAAATGATAGCCAATCCAACAGAAAAACCTTGTGATGCAGCATCTATTCTGTTGGGAGAATCTGTTTGGGTCAAGACAATTGATCTGCCATAGAAGTCATCACCCATGGAACACAGTAATTAGTAGGGTGATATCATAGGAGTGGTCCTAAGAAAGAAGATCCAAGGTTTGAAAACAAAGAGCCCTGAACCAAGTGCCTCCTTACCAGGAAATGCAAGACACCACTATGGAATTGTTGGAGTAAAGCCTAACTGCTTTCCCCTTAATAAGCACAGACCATGAAACATCACCTTTTGAAGGTCTAAACATTGTGCATGGAAGTCTTGTCATCCATGCGTAGACCCTGGAATTCCTGACCATTGAGATATGCACCCCATCCATGAAGTGAGGTATCCGTGAAGAGATGAATCTCTGGATGAGATAGTAGCAGAAGAACCCAAATCTTAGTATTGTTCCAATCTAACCACCCTTTGAGATCAAAGAGAATGATCCTGAATAATGAAACTATGGTACCCAGTGAATTGCCATTCATGATCCACTGGTTGCATAAAGACCATTGAAGGGATCTCTTGTGTGCTCATCCCAAAGGAATGAGGGATTTGAGTGATGGTTCATTCCCAAAAGTGAAAGAACAATCCTTGCAGTGGGAGAAGGAGAGGTGAGAATGAGTCAACTGAGATACATGGTAAAAAAAAAAAATACCCAGACTGATGATATTTTGTGTTGGAGCAAGAATAGATGACTCAGCTCTGATAATGAAGCCTGCCTTGGTTGTTTCTGAAAGTAGAATCCGGGTGTGACATTCTGCCAATCGACAAAATGATGCTAGCAGTAACCAGTCATCCATGTAATGGTGTAT